ATTTTTTGCATCATTTTTAAGAATGTAATTTTACATGGTAAAATACCAAATTTGAGCTATGTCGGTCGAATAGTTCGTGAGAAATTGAGTTTTAAAAAAACCCTACGGTTGCGATTCGATTACGGCTTCCCACTATACATTGGAGATCAGAAATACGATTCATTCAAAAAATAATTGTATCTTTATTCAAAGAAAGTGCAATTTTGTGTGTGATTTCGTAACTTAAAATATCGTCTGCTCTAATTAATTAACCTATTTGAGGTTGCCCCCTCGAACCATTAAGGTTGAGTACGCAGAACGTGGAGATCCGAACATTAGATTGAAAGTTATTCAAGGTGGTCCTTTTATTTGCTCAATACATTTGGCGTGACCTATAAATTGATTTCTAAGTAGTAAAAAAAGTGTACTTTTAATGACCTTTACTGACTTCGACAAAACTAGACACGTATGAAATTTGCTCGAAATGAAGCCTTAATCATAAATAGCCCACAAGAAATCAAAGCGCAGATGTATTGTTACTGATTCAACTTTTATAAAGTATAACTCTGGACACCCGAATAATTGAATAAAGTAATTGTTATAAGATAACTGTAAATTGTATCAAAAAATGTGATTTGGGTCCTCACCCTTCTCCGCGGAGAGCTTTTGCTTAAATCAAGAGCTTACTCAGGGCTCAGGGACCAACACTTATTCGATGCAAGTGATATGTTACGTTTTTTGCGTCATTTTTTACGCTGAATCGAATAAAGTCATACCCAAGTTATGCATATAATTATTAAAAAGCTATTTTAGTTTTACATCGAAAAAGAGCTAATTCTAACTCATTCATTGCGTCTAACATTGCTTTCCAAACAATCGGGATTTTGATTCTATTGTATTTTAAAAGCAATCGATAGATGTACTTCAATTCACCTTTAAGACTGTCCCAATGGAAGAACCTGTCAATTATAACAATTTACCCATATTTAAATACTTCATTTTTCACGATTATTAAAAATTGTGCCAAATAATTTTAAAATATTAACATTTTTTTTATAATTATGAGATGTTTTAAGTAGTTAATTTTATGTAGCTTATGTAGCTCGGTATCTTTTTTTTTTATTTTTATGAAAGGTATCTTAAAAATGTTTTTCTTAATTATAGATCAATGGCCGTTTTCATCAAGTCACTGTTTTTTAAAAAAATTTCTTAGTGAAAAAATGCTTACTGAAAAAAGACTAAAATAATTTTTTTCCAAACTTTTTGAACCAAAACTAAGATAAAAGGGTTAATTCGAAACTAGACTTGATTAAACAAAATGGTATAAATAGAGGAGATGACTCGTATGTTCTTGTTGTTGTTATTTCTAATGCTACTTGCCAATTCCATTAATCTTGCTTGGTGAAACAAAGCGAATTTAAGGCAAAGGGTGCGTTTCTTGTATTTCAGTGGCTCCATCTAGGGCCAAGAATATGATTTAAGCCACACACACATCACAGCCCGTTTATAGGGCGGACCCATTTATTCATCCACAGATTGCAAATTTGACCTGAACCACAGAACGATCAATCTCCCATTCAGTACATCCAGAAGTACGATTTGATATGGAAACATAGAGGACTTCCTGACCAACAGATTGAACGTGCACCAGTCATCATTTACTACACGGTGAGTGTTCGGTCGGTGGGGACCGAACTCATAATTTCTTGGACATAAGGCCAGCTCTCTACCAACCAAGCTATCCTGGTCCTCGCATGCTTTTAAAGTCTATAACTATTTTTTTGCTTGTTCTTGTTTAAGAATCAATGTTAATTATGTTGGTGTAGTTAGAATATTAAACTGTTGAAGAAGATTCTCACCATGATTGTAAAATGGAGCGAAATAATTGCTTGCTGAGCAGTGATTCCCAGGAAAATATGAAGTTATAAATTGCGTAATTACGACAACTTAAAATGTTGTGAATAATTCTTTCGGGAATTGGATCTAAACTGACCAGTTTTTAAATATATTAATCACGTCCCGCATTAGACTGATCGGTAAGACACGGTTCCAAGAAGTCAAGCATCACTGGCTACGGTCAGTGTGCGGGTGGGTGACCACTTGGATCAGTCTGCGTAGGGACCGAGGGTGTGCGGTATTGGTGCTCGTTAAACTGTTGTACCGTAAAGTGCTCGACTTCACGCGCAGGTCGTCGGGCTACCGAAGCGGGGTGCCATCCCCTCGGCAGAGGATCAAAATTGTGATGGCTTGACTTCGGATCATCCTCAGGGATGTTTCCCAGACCGTCGCCAATAGCCCATTGTGCAGCTCTAGTGCGACGTAAATGAACTACAACTAAAAATATATTAATCACGATTATATAAAAATGCGAGAGTTACTTTATTATGTAAATATAAAAAAATATATATATTCTGGTTAATAAAACCAAAATTTCTGGTATTTAAACCATTCATTTTGTAATTTTTCTCTTGATATTGTAACGGTTTACTGAAATTCTGGTTTTTTAAAATAATAGTTCTTATTACCACACAAATATGAATAATTCACAAAATAATATAAATAATAACACAAAAAATATAAATAACAACACAAAATGAAATATAAATTTTACCAAGAAAAATGGTTTTTATACCATGCTAAGGTATCATGACCAAATTTTATGACAGATTATAAAATCATAGTTTATTGATAATTTTACCAAAATCCAGTTTTGGTAAAAATTATCGAGCTTTTTGATATTCCCATATGGTCAGATAAGCATGATAAATTTTCTTATATTTTGGTAGTTTTGACGATGCTTTTTTCCTCTGAGCCCCCTCTTGATTTTTTGTGTTCGAGAGTACCATAATATTTATATATTTACTTTATATATATATAATTACTTTTACTATTTTTGCTATATATACTATATTTATTTTTACTATATTTACTATATATAAGAATATACGAGTTCCTTTCCCGCATTACACCATTTTGTGAAATTGAATCACATTTCAAAATGACCTTCTCTTTACTGTTTTATTTCAAAAAAATTTCAAAATAAAATTTTTGTCACTTTTCGTCGTGTACTTTTTGACAAAATCAGTTTTTGGCAACAATATTTTTTTTTTAATCTGGTTACTTTCAAATGGAAAAAGTTTTAGTCGAGATAGTTTTTCGGAAATAATGTTGTTTTTAAAAATTTTGTCGATTGAATATTTTAATTTATTTCCCAGAATGATGTAAAATTCGTTGATTTCAAATTTAAAGAAAAACTTAAGTTTGGAGCAAATGGTTAAAAATTTAAAAAAAAAGTAAACAATAAAAAATAAATTTAAAAAAAAAAATACTATTTTCCTTGTCTGTATTATTCTGTCGTTGAAACACTTATTAACTTATTTTATTGTTTTTCAAATAAGTGAAAATAGATTAAAGAAAAGTTTTAAAAAAGAAATTGTGCTTTTTTTTATTTCACTTGATTAGGTTTTATTGAATTTTATTATAAAAAAATAATGGTTGAAATACACTGTTAGTATTTTTTAAGTAATATATTATAAGACTATAATGTATTATATTATAATAATGTATTATATTATAATAATATACTATATTATTCTAATATATTATATTATGATAATATATAATTCAGAGTTTATTATATTTCTTACTATATAATATTTTTAATTGAGAGGGAACAAGTATCAAGGGACTCTAAATAAATAATAATTTTGAAATAAATGATTATAAACAGAAAAAAAAAATCTGCAAATATTTTTAGTTATCTTTCGAATTGTTCGGTTAACTAAATATATCTTTCGGATATATTTAGTTATCTCTCGGATCGCAATATTTAGTAAGTAAAATCTATATAAACGAATTTTAAAAGTAAGTCAATTTTTATAATTCTGTCATTTTTTGAAGTAGAGGAAAATTTTAAGTACTATTATTTTAAAGTTCTTTTTTTCAATATTTTCTTAGCAGTATTTCTCTTATAAATCTTCACTATTTATCCTACTTTTCTCTAATTTCAGTTAAACTCGCTAAAATATATTTAAAAAAAATCTGCGCTTCCATTTTAAAAATTAGTTCATTTGAATTTTTCTATAAATTTAGAAGCACTTAAGCCATTAATTTCAAATTTCAATTATTTCTCTTCTTTCGTAGTGCAGACGTAGTTTTCTCATTTCATAGTTTTATCTCAATATTTTCTGGGATTTTTTTTTTCAAATGGAAAAGATATTTTGAAGAAGGTGTTACATTTTGAAATTTCTTTTAATTTGAATTTTTCTCCTAATTTGGAAACAAAGAAATCATGATTTTCAGTTTCCTCTATGCAAAGCTTTTTAATAGTTAACTTTACCTTACTATTTAAGGGTTTTTTAAACAGAAAAATAATTTAAAAAATGTTTAATGTAAAAAAATGTGCATTTGAATTTCACTTATAAGCAATAAATCATTGCTTTAATTTTAAATCTTTAATTTCAATATTATGTGTTTAACTTCTTCATTGGCTTTGATTAACTTCTTTATTGGCTGTGCGAAATATTTTATATTTATTACTTTTTAACTCATTATTTCGCTTTTCCCTTTAAAGAGATACCATATTTTGAAGAAATAAAATAATTTCATTTTAAAATATTTGTTAATTTGCTTTTATCTCTGAATTTAGGAGCAATTAAAACCTTGCTTTTCGTTTTTCCTCAAAAAATCTTATAGGGGGTAATTCGCTTTTGTCTTTTTATTTCAACATTTCTTTCAATGAGAAAGATACTGAAAAAAACCTTATCCCTTTTGAAAATCTTTATATTTATTCACTCATTTAATATTATTTTATTACTTATTTATTTATTTACTTTATTTTATTTTTATTTATTATTTTTTTTAATTTTATTATTTATTTATTTTTTTATTTATTGTTATACGTGTTTGAATAAATTGTGAAAATCAAATATTTAATAAGATTCTGAAAAACTGATTTTATAAGTCATTTAATGTCCTCTATCTGAAGTAATTCAGGAAAAAAAATATTTTATTTCTTCATATTTTACACATTAATGCAAATATAGGTAACATATTTCATTTCCGATTGATTCTATCTCTGTTTTCCTCTATCATCAGCAATTATACCACTTCAGAACTATCTCTATCATCGATGAAAAAAAGAATAAAAAACATTCTATTGTATTCACTGAAACACCCTCACACTAAGAAGAACCCTATCAGAAAACCACCACCTACGTATTAGAAAAACCATCCAAGAGAGCTGAGGAAAAAGATGAGAGTGAAAAGTTTTCAACTCACCTGGAGAGAGAGAGAGGATGAAATTTGGCTCTCCCATTGGTGGAAAAAGTTTAGTGACGTCACTACCCCAAGCAGGATCGAGTGAGGCTCTTTCGGCAAAGGATCAGATAGGAGAATCTAACCCGTCGTACCTGTTGCATCGAAGGTACTTGCTTCTATGTTTATGTGGTACAAAACATCGTTTGCATTTGCATGCATCTTATTGCATTAGAGGACACAATGTCTGCTTTTCAGCAGGATCCACCCCCAAACGATCCTGGATCACCCTTCCACCCCCAGGATATGTCCGGCATGATGGAACTATACCCACGTGATTATAGTGGAAGTCCGGGAACTTCCAGGCAGCAACAGGGGAGTCCAGTTGCCGGATATTACTTAGCGGGAGGATCTCCTTATGCAAGGGGTTGGCCACAACAGCAAGGGGACTATCAGGGAATGGTTCAGTATGGTGTGCCGGACGAGACAGGATGGTTGCCGGACGGTGCTTACGGACTCGCGAGGATTAACTCTGCCCCGGCGGACTTGTCTTCGATGGAAGCACCGCCTGCTTCGGAACTGGGGCGCTACCCTGGTGATGGGGCTGTGAATGAACCGGGAAGTTCTCCGGTGCATGATGTTGTCGGTTCGCCCCTGGCAGCCGCGGAAAGTCCCGTCGATGTTCCTTCAACCGCTGGTAAAGGCGGTAGAGCTAGCCAAGAACAGAGAATACGGAGACCGATGAATGCTTTCATGGTTTGGGCTAAAGTTGAAAGAAAAAGACTAGCGGACGAAAATCCCGATCTTCATAATGCAGATCTTAGTAAAATGCTGGGTAAGTTAAGAAATAATTTTATATTTGCGTTTGTAAAATGAATAGATTTTACTGTTAAGTTCGAAAATAATATAATAAATAATATATTTTATTGAATTACTTACATCGCATAAATAAAACACAGTGTGTCCATACACACTTGAAAGTTTCCTTAATAAAGAAAATATTTTTGTCCCCCTTACATTTCCTTCTAATGCATTAAGTCAGCGGTTCTCAAATGATGTTTCGTGGAACTCTAGAGTTCCGTGGATGCTTAAGATTTTGCTATAAAGTTCGAAAATAGTATAATGAATAATATATTTTATTGAATTATTTACATCGTATAAGTATAAAACTCAGTGTGTGCATACACACTTGAAAGTTTCATTAATAAAGAAACATTTTCATCCCCCTCAGATTTCTTTTTAATGCATTAAATCAGCGATTTTCAAATGGTGTTCCGCGGAACTTTAAGACTCCGTGAAAAGATCATAGGTGGGTTTTCCGTAGGTTGGGACATTTTTTTATAGCCAGTAATGATTTTTTGAAAGATGGTTTGTACCCGATTAATAATCCATTACTTATTTAATATTAAAATTGTTTTTATGAAATTATTTGTGTAAAATTTCAATAAAATTGAAAGAGGAAATTTTAAGAAATATATATTTTTCTATATAACAGTACAATATATAAATTGCTAAACGATATGCATTTATAAATTATTTCATCAGTATTTCTCGTTGAACTTAGAAATTCAATATAAAATTACCAAATTTACAAATAAAGAATTATTTTTCTTTGCCTCTCTAGCCTCTCTCACAATTTATAATAATTTTTAAAAAAAAATTATAATTCAGCTTATTTATTCAATTTCAACTTGAACGTCAAAAACTACTAAACTTGACTTATAGAGTAACAAACGTAACCTCTGCAGATTTGCGAATTCAACTACCTAACATAAAACTTAATTTTAAGACTTATTCATGAAACAATGAAAAAAATTCATCCGCATTAATTGTTTCTGAATTAATTGGAAGTTTCTTGCTTCGTTTGCACCTGCTAAAGAACGTTTTCTAAAAAGTCAAAGTTCCACCAAAAGAAGTTCGATCGTTTAGGGTTCCGCGACTGAAAAAATTTAGAAACCGCTGCATTAAATCGCTTGAAATGCATCACAATTTTTCGTATTACTTATTATTTAAATCATGAGTATCAAATTTAGATTAATAAATTAAAAGTAATATTTTATTGCATTTGTAAGTATTTTGCGATATTTTAATTTTATGTACTGCAATTTTCGAACATAAAAATTTAAACTCGTTTTTTATTTTAGACATCTTTAACACATCATTAATGTTTAAGTATCATAATAAAAATTAAACTCACTGTCTAGTTATTTTTATTTTTTTTTATTTCTTTGTAAATATCCGAAGTTATCCAAAAATGATTACTTTAATTTTATTTATAACTCCATCAATATATTTGAATTGATCTTAAAAATAATAGTTCTGTTACACAGCTTTTAATAAATTGTTTTTAAACAATATTTTGAATGAAACATTGTTAATCTGATGAAATGTTTTAATATTATTATATACGAGTCTGAAAGTAATATAGCATTGATTTTATTACAGATACGTAAGTTTACCCTTCTATAATGAAAAGCATTTCTCAAATTCTGCCAAAAAATTCAAATATCAAAATTGTTTTGATTAAATATCTGTTTTATAAGAGATGAATTCCAAATTTAGAAAGAAAGAAAAAAAGAAAAAACAACAATTTTTAGTTGTTTTTATTTATCTATAATGAGATTCCATAGTGCTCATAAAAATATTAACAAGGAAATATTGTCCATAAATACAAAAGTACAAACAATTATTGAATACCAGCCCTTCGTAGAATCCATGAAGACAAGATCAAATTTGTTCCATCAAAAGGGCCATCATATAAGAATTGAATTTTCAATACTTTGTCTCATGGTGTCCATTATCAAAAAATTAGGAAACGAAATCATAAAAAATCATTTTGAAATGATTTTTTTCACTATTTTCCCTGCAATGCTCCCTAAGAAATGGTTTTATGAAATTAAAAATGATGATTCAATGAACTGGGAATTTCAAAATATTCTTTTAATGATGATTGCTTATATTTTAAAAAAAAATAAAACTAAATATTTGAGTGCATATATTTCTTTTAATATTATGAAAAAGTTAAATTCTTGTTATATATCCTAACAACTAATAAGTCTAAGTTGTAATTGTATATATAATATTTGTAAAGTTATTTAAAGCACTAAGTCAATATTTTTTTGATCTTGTATATTCTAATTTTCACTTACGTAGTTTGTTAAAATAGGGTAGCTATAAAATTTAAGATGGCGAAAATGCTGTTCCCATAGAATCTTCCTTTCGCAAAAAGCAACCGACCCTACACTATCAATTAAAATTTTTTTTAAAGAAAATGCTTAAATCTTTAACTCAACGCATTAATTAGTGTAGTAGTATTAAATTGTTATTGTGTAACATGATTCATCGTAATAAAATATTACGGTGGATATACAAGAGGTGCATATACTTCAACGCATTAATTACACGATACAATACAATATAAAGTGCAACATTTTTGGCTGCATTTATATCGGTATATTATGTTTATTTTTGTAATATTATTGTTGAAAAATTTAAAATATATATAATGTGATTTATGATCTAAACAATACACGTAAATTATACGTAACAACATTTAAAGAGAAAGAAAATATCTCAAAATATAATGCGATGCACAGTGCACCATAGCCGTTCATAATACATTTGTAACATTTTTGAAAACATTTATTTCAGTAAACTGTGAACTTAACTCTACTTTTAATATAATCGAAAACAGTGTAAAATATAACTCAATGGTAATATATTATATACATTGTCTTAGTTTCAGAGAAATTGTTTTAGCGATAAACAGTAAAATACTTTTTGTAACTTCCATGTGACAATAATGTAGAAAATATAATATAATATAATTTCATTTTTTGTAGTTCCTATTAAATCACAAATGATAGAATTATTTCATATGTATATGCTCTAGTTTTAAAAAGTTAATGCTAGTACCTTATATTAAAATCGTCGACATCCTGGAACAAAGAACAGATATTTAATTCGGATATTAAGTATTATTTAAATATTAATGTTCTCGTATATTACGATCATGGATGTCTTTGTAAGTACAAAAACGCATTTCTTTCGGATGTTTCGTTTTTCCGTCCGTGCCTAGAGCAAAATATCCTAGGTATCTTGGAATTTTGATGACTAAATAATGTTTCAGTAACAATATATGGATGGTTGTATTATTAACCTCACACGCATTGTTTTTTAATTAACTATGTATCTCAGTAATTATAAATTAACTATGCTAACAAACGATAACCATGTTGAATTTTAAGCACTTTAAGTACCTTTTCATTAAAAATCAAAGTTATCATCATACATTCAGTATTCCTTTAACAATGGACATAATTTTAATGTTTTATCAAATGAGAAATCTAATGAATTACTAGTTGTTTTGACGATGCTAAAATGTCACAAGAAAGTTGCTAAAATATATCAAAACAGGGGTTGACATTAAAATTTGTCATTGAAAGTGTGGCAAAAATGTTTTAATTCAATAAGATTACATTTTTAAAATGTAATTTAAAATGCAATGAATTACATTATTAAAATGTAAAAATTAAAGACTTATGTTATCATTTCTAAGACTATACTTTCAAAATTCTTGAAAACAATTTTATTTTATTTTAAAGTATTAGTTTACTAATAAGATATTGAAGTCGCTTAAAATTTTAGGATAAGTGAATATTTTTAATTTCATATAATTTATCACTGTTAAAAAAAAATTTTTAAATTACATTTTTTTCAATAAAAAACATTGATTTATTTTAATAGTCGTTGTTATTTTAATAGTAATTCATCATTTTTCATTTCATCCCTGAATTGTACGCTTTGAAATTGAATTTTACGAAATTCTAAATTTTTGAATTCAAAATTCTAAATTTTGAACAAAATTCTAAATTTTTCCTCAATAACATTAAAAACATGTTAAGAATAATAAACCTTAAATCAACGTGAAAATGTGAAATATTAAATATTTAGATTATCGATCAAATTAGAAAACAATTGTTAACATAATTTTGTAAATAGTTTTCCTATAAATTTCCTAAATAAACTTAAAATTGATTTGTTGATTGTTATCAAGAGGAAGTTAATAAGATAGTGGTTTTTATGATATTTTTATTCCAATTATAGTTTTTTGTTAAAGTTTTCTTTACGTATACAAATCGTATTAATATTTAAGTTATGTTTATTAATGTTTTAGTTAATACGTCTAAATTAATAACAGAAATTTATGCTTTTGTTTAAAAAGTTATTTATTAAATTTGTTTTCAAAACGAACAACCAAGCTTTCGATTGTTGAACAAATACTGCTTCTAAACTTCTATTGTTTCGATAATACTGAATCTACAAAACTTAGCGTAATAATCATATAATAGAAAATGATAATTAAAAACTATTTCTTTCAATGCTGAGAAATTTCAAGTATTCTTTTATTTTCCTTTCTTCTCTTTTATTGTTGTTGCCATTCACGACAACGAATATACTTTGATATTAGAGATGCTTCTAATTGTAAAAGGTATTCAACTTACTTAACCCTATGGATTAGAATCTGTAGGAATCAGAAAGTTCTCAACTAATCTGGCACTCAAGGCTAGATTTCATTTCAGAAATAAATATACAGCCAATTGAAATCATCAAATCCAATAACATTTTCTAAGAGTTCTTTGATTCCAAAGTTATTAATTTTTATAATAGAGTATTTTGAATAGTAAACGTGGTATGAAACAAATTACTTCTTTAGTAGTGCTGACATTAAATTAAAAAAGCTGAGCTAGCGTGTAAGAAAACTATAACCAGATACTGACATTGTTCTTCATTCGTTTTAACTAAAAATGAAAGATCAATTTTTTTTAAAAAAAA